GACCTTTATGCATCTGCTTTACCGATTGGCTAAGAATGACATCACTACTAGTATTTCATCATGAAGGTCAAATCGTGACATTGCTTTCTTATCAGACTCGAGTCGACACTTATTAATCACGGTGAAAGTTATCACTCGGCAAGTTCCGGCGGTTGGAATGTCTCACTATATGGATATCGCGGCGGACTTGAAATAGGAAGTTTTTTTTTTTATTCAACGACAGAAGAATAGTTTTCATGACAGAAATGCAATAGCGGTGATAAAAGATGGTAAAAAAGTTGTCAGTCTTCGGCGTGACATTGCAAAATTGCTGGCCCCAGTTGTGGATTCGCAAGCTGCTACAAAATATTTATAAAACCAAAATAACGTGATTTCAACCATTCTCCCAGGTACGGGTTGCTACAATATTGCAACATTGTTTTCATTGTCGACGACGCTAAAGCCAAACGAGTGCGACACTTGCTTAGCGGCTTTCCTTATACGATTTGCTTGAATCGTTTCTAAGGAAGCACACACCAAACGTCCGGCCACGACATATTTCAAAAAGAGAACTACCTTTTCTGCTTTAATATTTATTTTTATAGACTTGCTGACTGTTATGATTCTGAAAAAAAAAATCAGCGGTGAACGCGCTGCCCTGAAAGCAGAAAGCTGTCACAGCTATTTTGCGTTCGCCCCTCGTTTTACGCAATTAAACATTTTTATAAGTATCATGACAGACTTCAAGAAAGTCAACAGTTAACGAATAGAAAATAGTTTTTTTTGTTTTGTGTAGAAAAAGTCCCCCTGGGCATGTGCCCGGATATGACCTCAACTTCTTTTTTGTGTCAAAAGTGGGGGGTGGGCGTTTGTCCAGGCATGGGCTCTTACCCGGATAAGTACGGTATCTTAATGGTTAAGTGTACCATAAATGCATTTTTTTTAAATATGGGTTTCTATTAGAGATGCGCTTCTAATAGAACAAATATGGTATGAAAAAATATTTAAAATGAGCTAGCTCTCTAAAATTCTGAGCAATGATAATTGTGTCAACAAGTACTAACAAAACAAATTGTCTACTAATTTTTACTATGGGACTACCAGCTTTCCAATCTGTTAGTCCAGCCAGGCTGCTATGATAATTGCTCAATTATAACTGGAGCTGTAACTTAATGTACAGTAACTTAGATAAGATAAGAATGTACGCCAGACTGATGTCTACAGATTCTAAATATGTTTACTATTTCAACCTTTGTCTCCCACTACTGTTAGTTGCTGACAACTCACAGTAGAACTGATGAAAGAAAGATCCTCAAATCTCATCTTTGTTCAGAAAATGTGCTTGGAATCAAGTTAAATATGACTAATTCAAGGAAAATATTTACTCTGAAAAAATTTATTATAACAAATGCTCTCCAATTTGATTCACCTGTTGGCATTTGTTTGCTGGGATGAATTCACTCCAAATTGCTAATACCTTCATTCAGTTCAGTGGAACATGAAGTAGAAGTATGAAACGTGAAGGAATTTTCTCAGCTGTTGGAATGACAACCAGTTGTTGGAAGTGTTAATTGATCACCAACAGATGCAGTAAGATTTATCTATTTCTAGCTCTGTGTTAAGTACTAGTTGTGTTTGTTTTGTAAGGCTTTTGCAAAATGTACTTATCCTGAAGTGTAGTGGTTGCCATGGATACCAGGATCTTCTATTATATGTGTAGGGGTGGCAGGTATAAGTGCATGAAGTTAGGAAGATGTTATCTGTTCAAAACATTTTAAAAATATTCTTGTACCACCTTAGCCAAGCTTATGAAATATGAAAGTACATACTTAAAAAACTATTATTACTTACCATTATTTATTTAGAATGGTGAGTAGCCACTCATTTAGCCATCTGATTGGCTGCTCAGCTTTCTTGATGGCCACTTACTGTGTAGGTTTCCTTCAAAGTGACCATTATGTTAGCTCTCTGGCCACTCTGTTAACATTCTGGATGGCCACTCAGTAAGAATTCTGGATGAACACTCAGTAAGCATTCTGGATGGACTCTCAGTTAGCATTCTGGATAGCCACTCTGTTAGCATTCTAGATGGCCAGTCTGTATTGCCACTCAGTGAGCATTCTGGATGGCCACTCTGTTAGCATCCTGTATTGCCACTCAGTAAGCATTCTGGATGGACTATCAGTTAGCATTCTGGATGGACACTCAGTAAGCATTCTAGATGGACCCTCGGTTAGCATTCTGGATGGACACTCAGTAAGCATTCTGAATGGACTCGGTTAGCATTCTGGATGGACACTCAGTAAGCATTCTGGATGGACTCGGTTAGCATTATGGATGGCCACTCAGTAAGCATTCTGGATGGACTCTCAGTTAGCATTGTGGATGGCCACTCTGTTAGCATTCTAGATGGCCACTCAGTTAGCATTCTAGATTGACACTCAGTAAGCATTCTGGATGGACTATCAGTTAGCATTATGGATGGCCACTCTGTTAGCATTCTGTATTGCCATTCTGTTGGCATTCTGGATGGACTCTGTTAGCATTCTGGATGGACTCTCAGTTAGCATTCTGGATGGCCACTCAGTTAGCAATGTGGATGGCCACTCTGTTAGCATTCTGGATGGCTACTCAGTAAGCATTCTGGATGGACTCTCAGTTAGCATTCTGGATGGAATATCAGTAAGCATTCTAGATGGCCACTCAGTTAGCATTCTGGATGGCCACTCAGTTAGCATTCTGGATGGAATATCAGTAAGCATTCTAGATGGCCACTCAGTTAGCATTGTGGATGGCCACTCTGTTAGCATTCTGGATGGCCACTCAGTAAGCATTCTGGATGGCCACTCAGTAAGCATTCTGGATGGACTCTCAGTTAGCATTCTGGATGGCCACTCTGTTAGCATTCTTGATGGCCACTCTGTTAGCATTCTTGATGGCCACTCAGTTAGCATTCTGGATGGCCACCCAGTAAGCATTCTGGATGGCCACTCAGTAAGCATTCTGGATGGACTCTCAGTTAGCATTCTGTATTGCCATTCTGTTGGCATTCTGTATTGCCACTCAGTAAGCATTCTGGATGGCCACTCAGTAAGCATTCTAGATGGCCACTTAGTTAGCATTGTGGATGGCCACTCTGTTAACATTATGGATGGCCACTCAGTTAGCATTCTAGATGGCCATTCAGTTAGCATTCTAGATGGCCATTCAGTTAGCATTCTGGATGGCCACTCAGTAAGCATTCTGGATGGCCACTCAGTAAGCATTCTGGATGGCCACTCAGTAAGCATTCTGGATGGCCACTCAGTAAGCATTCTGGATGGCCACTCAGTAAGCATTCTGGATGGACTCAGTAAGCATTCCAGATGGACTCTCAGTAAGCATTCTGAATAGCCACTCTGTTAGCTCTGCTTATTATACTGTCTTGGCTGTCTGTCTTATTTTGTATACACAGTATAAGTTGTACTCTTCTCTTTGGGGTACCCACAAGTAACTTTTCTCAGTCAATTGAGGGCGCTGTGACCTACTTGTGATATCTAGAAAAAAATCTGTTATCCCATGTGGAAGGCAGAAGTATAAAACAAAACTTTTAAACAGTAAGACTTGCAGTCTCCCACTATCTGTAGTAGTTCATTTTATTCTTTTCAGGTTTAAATGAAAATGTTGGTCAGTATATTGAACAGTTTGTCAACCAAGGAGTCACAGGCGAGAAGCTGCTTCGTATTACACAACAAGATTTACAAGAAGTGGAAATGCGAAAAATTGGACATCAAGAAATATTTTTTGAATGTTTGAATTTAATTCGTAGTTTGGTAAGTCTCATTTTCAGGTTTGATAATTCAAGTTTTAGGAATTTTCCACTCATACTGTGTGAATTTAAAATAGAGAGCAACATCCTTGAGTAAGGTGGCTTGCTCTCACTTTATTTCCTACTATTGATGATAACTCAAAAATGTCATATCTGATCTTCAGCAAAACACATACATATATGGTGCGGTACACAATGGGAAACAAACTACATATAGCGGTAACACAATAATTGTTTGATTTCACTGACTAGTGGCTATTTTGGTTTTCAAAATGTCATCATCAGTGCATGATGTGTATCATTTTTTCCCATGAATTTTATTCATAATGGTTGACTGGTGGGCTGTTATTTTCAAAAATGCTCTTCTGAAGCCATATCTCTGACATTCCAGGACTAATTGCATTTACACTTTGTATATACTAAGTACATCATAGGGCTTGTACTCATACTTTCCAGTAATGGTTCAATTCTGTTTCACAAAATGCAAGTATGATGTGTAAACCAAGAGTTGTGGTACAAGATAATGGCTAACTGATTTCGTGTTTCTGTCTTTTTTTTCAGTATTATGTGATGGAAAATGAAAATTTACAGTCCTTAGCGTTATCTTTAAGCTGCAAAGCCAATAATTTAAAAAGTTTAATAAAATGTAATGGATACTGTCACCAGTACAGTGAAAATAGTAAAACGTTATCCAATGATGTATTGGCATTAATTGTTGATGTTGTCATGGCAACTAGAACACTGGTTTCCTGGCTAGATAGGTTAGTACCAACAAAATTCTGAATGCTATATTCTTATATTCACAATAATTGTTTGAAAAAAGATAGATGTTTTATATTATTTTTATGCCAATGATTATCATAATATAAATACTTGGCAATTCAGACTCAACATCTTATTGCAATAACTTATATCTGTACTCCGAGTTAAACATATTTAAAGTGCCTGTGAAATGGCTGCTATTTTCACGCCTAAAATTATCCATTGATACATAAATATTATTATTTTTTATGTTTCTAAGCATGAATTATTTTATTTGAGTGAAAAAATGTGTTTTAAACTCAATCTACGGCAACTTTATTTTTGTGTATTTTAAAACGAGGCTCCTCATTAGCTTCTTATTTGCATACAGAAATTCCCCTTGTGACGTCAGAAGGGGAAGTCGCATGGCAGGTTGCATTGCCGATACGTGTAAATAAGGCAAATTTCTTGTGCAGTTTTCTCGTCTTTGACTAAATTTTCACTTATGTACTTGTTCGTCGAGGAGGAGTGGACCATAGTGAATACATAGTATCAATTTTTGTTGTATGGGGTTGAGTTAGATGCTAAATATGTCCG